TTTTGAGAGAGAGAGAGAAAGCATGAATGGGGGAGGGGCAGAGAGAGGGGGGAAAGACTCAGGAGCAGGCTCCAGGCTCTGAGCTGTAAGCACAGAGCCTGACGTGGGGCTCGAGCTTACAGAGCACAAGATCATGACCCAAGCCAAAGTTGGACACTTAACCGACAGAGCCACCCAGGCACCCTGGTAAAGTATTTTTTAAGTTTATTTATTTTGGAGAGACAGAAAGTGAGGAGAGAGAGACAGAATGAGGCGAGAGAATGAGAGAGAATCCTAAGCCGGTTCTGTGATGTCAGCTAAGAGCCCAACACAGGGCTCACTCCCATGAACCAAGGGATCATGACCTGAGCTGAAATCAAGAGTCAGACCCTTCACTGACTGAGGCCCCCAGGTGTCCCTGATATGTTAAAATATTAATTGTAGACTCTAGGTGATACATAAGAGAATTACTGACTGTATAATTATTTTTTCTGTATGTTAAAAAATTTCATAATAAAATGTTGTCAAAGAAGAACCAGTGCACTATGAACAAAATGAAAAGGCAACCTACTGAATAGGAGAGTACTGGCCAGGCGCCTGGGGAGCTCAGTCAGTTTCAGGTCATGATCTTGTGGTTTGTGGGTTCGAGCCCCCATGTCGGGCTCTGTGCTGACAGCTCGGAGCCTGGAGTCTGCTGCAGATTCTGTGTTTTCCTCTGTCTGGCCCCACCCCTGCTCTGTCTCTCTCTCAAAGATAAACATGAAAAAATTTTAAAAAATGTTTGCAAATCATCTATCTGATAAGGTGTTAATATCCAAAATATACAAGGAACTCCTACAACTGAACAGCAAATAATTCAATTAAAACACAGGCCTAGGAGCGGCACCTGGTGGGGGGGCTCCGTCAGTTGAGCATCAGCTCAGGTCTTGATCTCAGGGTCATGAGTTCAAGCCCTGTATCGGCTCCATGCTGGGCACGGAGCCTGCTTTAAAAAAAAAAAGGCAGAGGACTTGAATAGACATCTTCCCAAAGAAGACATCCGGACGGCCAACAGACACATGCAAAGGTGCTGCACATCACTCATCATCAGGGAAATACAAACCCAAATCACAAGGAACCAAAGAGACCCGAAACAACAGGTGCTGGCGGGGATGCGGAGAAAGGAGAACCCTTCTGCATCACCGGTGGGGATGCTGACTGGTGGAGTCGTTCTGGACAACAGGATGGAGGGTCCTCAAGAAATTAAAAATAGAACTACCATGTGACCCAGTAATTCCACTACTGGGTATTTACCCAGAGAAAATGAAAATGCTAAGCTGCAAAGATATCTGCACCCCTACTGTGTATCAGTCCATTATTTACAACACCCAAGATATGGAAACAACTTAGGTGTCCATTAGCAGATAAGTGGATTAAAAGGGTGTGGTGCATATATATATATATATTGCATATACACACACACACACACACACACACATATGTGGTGGAATATTAGCCCTGAAAAAGATGGAATACTGTGATTTGCAACAGCATGGATGGAACTAGAGTATATGATGCTAAGTGAAATCAGAAAAGCAAATATCATATGACTTCACTCATATGTGGACTTTGAGAAACTTAACAGATGAACATAGGGGAAGGAAAGGAAAAATAAGATAAAAACAGGGAGGCAAACCATAAGATGCTCTTAAATAGAAAAACTGAGGGCTGATGGAGGGGAGCGGGGGGGGACTGGCTAAGTGGGTGACAGGAATTAAGGAGGGCACCTGTAATGAGCAATGGGTTCTACTCCTAAAACTAATATTACTTTATATGTTAACTAACTTGGATTTAAATAAAATTTAAAAATATTTTTTTCAACTTACTTTTTTAGTTTCTTTTGAGAGTGAGCGAGCAGGGGAGGGGCAGGGAGAGAGGGAGAGAGATCACTAGCAAACTCCGAGCTGTTAGCACAGAGCCCCACATGGGGCTTGAACCCAGGAACCATGAGATCATGACCAGAACTGAAACCAAGAGTTAGATGCTTAACCGACTGAGCCACCTGGGCGCCCCTACAAATAGTCTTAAACTCCCAAAAAAATAAAACCAAATATGTGGCTCGTAGATCCAGAGAACAGGCTGCTGGTTGCCAGAGGTGGGGAGTGGGCAGAGAGGGTGCAGGCGTCAGCTGTGCCACGGGGAGGACCCAGGGGCACCGTGCACCCGCAGCTCACGACCCCTGAGGCGAAGCTGAGTGCTGCAGAGTGACCGCAACAGTTCTCATCGCGAGAGAGTGCTAAGTGAGTGGGGATGGTGTTCACTGCACACTTGTGGTGTTCGGGTCAGGCTTGCACCCGTGAACTCGAGTCATACGCCTGAAATGAATGTGCTGTGTGCCCACCAGACCTCAATAAAATAAGAATCTCAACAAACCCCACAACAGGCACCAAAGCCAGAAGCAGAACATTCCATGTCCCCACTTCCGCACCTGTGCTGTGTGAGTTCAAATGCCTGGGCCCTGTGGGCGGGGGACAGGTACACGCAGGGCAACAAGGGCCACCTGTGGGGGCCAGGGCCCAGCAGCTTGACTTCGTCTCCACTGGAAAACAAAACAAGGGGTGCCTGCATGACCAGCTCAGGTTGTGATCTCACTGTTCCTGAGATCGAGTCCCAGGGGGGGCTCTGTGTTGACAGTGTGGAGCCTGCTTATGTTTCTCTTTCCCTTCCCCACTCGCTTGCTCTCTCTCAAAATAAACTTTTAAAAAAAGTTCCTTCTCTTTTTTAAAAAAACAATTCTAAGAAGACCTCAAGCAACTATCAAAGGGAAGTCAGTATCTGAAGCAACTACCTAGAAAACTCTACTGAACGTCACTATTCTCTATTTTGCCTTCTTTGCTGTTGCTACTTTGGCTTCTGGAAACTACTAAAACTTCACAGGAGGATAACTGAGAGCCTGCTCAACATAGAAACTTCAAAACTACGTGCTGAGGTAACTTAATCTGAATTTGAAATGTTCTTATTCCTGCCTTGGAAACCAAAGAGCGGGTCTGCAGGAATTCTGGGCGCAGAAGGATCACGAGCGTGTCTCCCACCAGTGCCCCATGTGGAGTGCTGCTTCAGGGCGCTGGCGGCTACAAGCCCTTGGGGGAGCCCTTGGGGGAGTGGGCTGGCATAGCCCGACCATCAGTCTTCACACAGCAGGTGATAGGTGCCCGCCCCCCACAGTCACCTGTGAATTACTTTTGTGAGGAAGGAAAACAAAAGACAACCCCTCAAGATCTGTCCGTTTCCAGGAAATCTAGGGAACAGGAAAACATCTCAAACACCAATAGGATGCATTCTGGAAAATACAGAGACAATTCCGTAGAAAAAACAACTCTGTGTCTTCAAAAATTACTAAGAAAAAATGGGTGCTTGGATGGCTTAGTCAGTTGAAGCATCCAACTTCCGCTCAGGTCCTCATGGTTTTCGGGTTCCAGCCCCGCGTTTGGCTCTGTGCTAACAGCTGTGAGCCTGGAGCCTGCTTTGGATTCTGTGTCTCCCTCTCTCTCTCTGCCCCTCCCCTACTCGTGCTCTCTCTCTCTCAAAAAAAAATAAATGTAAAAAAACTTTTTTTTAATTATAAGAAAAAGAGGGAAGAGAAACCTATGGATTAAAAAGAAATGAGGGATGAACACAATCTAGGATCTGGAACACGGTAGGGTGCCTGGCTGACTCAGTCAGTAAAGCATGCAGCTCGATTGTGGGGTTGCAAGTTCAAGCCCCATGTTGGGGGCAGAGATTAAACAAACTTAAAGAAAAACAAAAGAAAGACAGGGGCGCCTGGGCGGCTCAGTTGGTTCAGTGTCGAACTTTGTCTCAGGTCATGATCTCACAGTTCGTGAGTTTGAGCCCCGAGCTGGGCTCTGTGCTGACGGTTTGGAACCTGCTTGGACTCTGTCTCCCTCTCTCTCTCTGTCCCCCCGCTTCGGAATAATTAAAGTTAAAAAAAAAAAAAATCTAAAAAAATAAAATAAAATGCTGTCTTACAATTGTAATTCTGGCCTAAAAAGTGCCCCATCTTTAGGGACTCACACTTAAATAGACAGACATGACAATAAATTGTGCCTGATTCGGGATTCAAACCAACCGGCTGGGAGGCAGGATCCCGGGAGCAGGGAGGTAAAACACCGCGGGATAACTGTCTGAAGGTGGAGGAGGAGTACACGGGGGTTCATTATACTGTTCTCTTTATTTTTCTGTATTTTTGAAAATTTCCATAATAAAATAAATTTTTAAAATGAGAGCTTTGTTTTTATAGAGCTAGATTATAAAACATTAAAAGATCTTTTTTTAATGAAGACTTCCAAGCAAAAAAAATAGTTTTTTCTGACGGACCATTAACTGGCACATTAAATCTTACAAGTTACTTAAAAGCTGACAAAGTAAAATATTTTGTAAAATAAGGCACAAATTGCTGAATGTTACTGTATCAAAAAGAGACCACTAAAAGCTGGGAGTTTAAGTAAAAGCAGAAAACTGTGATAAACTGAACTCTGATTCCAGTAAGAGTGTGGGCCCCGGGTCCCCCAGCCCTGCGTGTCCTACCTACCGGGTGACCCGTCCTTCGACAAGTAACTTCCAGGAACCCTGGTTTCCACATCTTTTAACATGGGGGGAATGAATGAAGTCTCTCATCATAAGCACCTAATTCAGGGCCTGCTGTATAGGTGCTCAGTGCACAGATCTGCTACCCTAGCCATCAACTCCCAATGCACGTGTTCTCCGGGCCGGGGTCTCTGCACAGGGGTGCATCCTACAGCTGAGGGCGCCCTGCGGCTCCCTTCTTTTGTGGTGTGTGACCTGACAGGCTGTCCTGCAAGCGGATGGCACCTGATACAGTGGCACACGGTAATGTGGCATCAACCCTGGGAAATCTATATTCCCAATCACTGTTTTAGGATTATTCTGAATATAGAATAACCAATTTGAAATTTAAACAATTTCTAAGTATGAACAAAATATTTCCCAACACATCATGAACAGAACAGTTTGGAGACCGATTCTTTTTGTAAAAAATGGTTTATCAATTCCATTTTTGTATAAAACACATGGGAGAAACCTAGCCAATCACCACACGAGCGCTGCCACATGGAAAGGTACTTTATCAAACTTTGAGCCTAAGAACGTACAAATGTCTCTTATTGTGTCTACAGTAATTGTCTAAGCTTTTCCTTTTGCCTCTTTTAAAAATCTCCATGTCCCCACTATTTCTTCTGTCCCAGTTACAGTGCAGTGACGGGAGAGGGGCTGGTTAAAACAGTGCTCTAGGCGGTTTTCTGCTGCCCCTTCTTTCCAATCAGGGACTTGTGGATGTGCGGGATCACACCTGCAAGGAGATGGAGATGCATGAGCCGCTCGCGTGGGCCCTCTCACCACTGCGGGGCCTCCACGGAGGGCGCCTCCTCAGCCACGAAGTCTACTGAAGGCCCCTTCACCCGCCGACCTCGCGGAGGCAACCTCTCTCGAGGTCTGGGCACCACACTAAAACTACATAAAACAGCGCTGTTACGGGCTTTGGGGACGAGGAAGCAGAGCTTTCAAGAGCTTCTCCAAAGGTGACTTGGAAGGGATTCAGAACCACGGCAGACGTCTCCCTTCACTGACCCTGGACTCACTCGTTCACCTCAGCCCAGACTTTCAAGGGCATCACACCGAGCAGTTCTCGGGATCATTTTTAAGACACTGCTGCGAGGGTACGGGAAACATGTGGAACCACAGCACTGCATCGGGCCACAAGTGAGAATGTGTCTTGGGATCAGAATGAAAAGGAGCCTTTACTGTAACGGACCCCACACTGCTGGGATCCTGGAGGCAAAGTCTGTGTGTGTTCTAGGGTCACTGACTGAATGATGTCAGCCAGAATGGCCAACAGCCACCTGTGTGTGAGAGGGGACCCTACGTACCACCCCCGGCGATGGTTGCCTTGATGAGGGAGTCCAACTCTTCGTCGCCGCGGATTGCAAGCTGCAGGTGGCGCGGGGTGATCCGCTTTACCTTGAGGTCCTTGGAGGCGTTACCCGCCAGCTCCAGCACCTGCAAGGCACCAGGGAGATGGCGGATCAGAGGCTAAAGTGCGGGAGGGTCAGCGCAGACCTGCAGTTACAGGGACACAGACCCATACAGCACCTGCACAGAAGACACGCAACGCTTATAAACCGGTAACGGTTTCTTTTTCCGATTTTCTGATGCTTTTGTAGAGATCTCGTTACCTCGCTAGGATCTCTCTTATTCATTTTTCTGGAGATCCCTGAGTAAGAACCCACTGCTCCAGAAAGAAAGGCAAGGGGTAACACTATCCCCTAGCCAAGATCCCGAATGTGAAGAATGTAAACACCGAGCAATTCACCATGATTTCAGTACGGCCCTGTAGTCTATTTTTGCACGGCCCTTAACGGATGGAACTTATTTCTTAGTAGTTGGGAGAAAAGTTTTTAAAAAGAATTAAAATAATTTCCTATTCATGGTTTTTAACATCACTGGGTCCTCTAACCCAAAGGCAATAATATACTAGAACCCCTTTATTCCAGAATGGGAATTTTCTCCTAAAACAACTTCCAAGTCCCAGCTGGCCATAAAATCTGCATTTCTAATTTATTTTTTGTTTTGCCTCCACCGACTATACTGACATTATAAAACCTTTGATGGAAGTCCTACAAAAATAACTCCATGGAGTCTTACCTAAACTGAGCAGTGTGCGTCGGAAGCAGCAGGGACCCTGCTCGGTCCTCACAAGACTTTGACCGGTCTGGGCACCTGTGTCTTTTGAAAGCTCCCGCAAGTGAGCCTGGTGCAAAGCCAAGGTTGAAAAGCAATGACCCCTGACCTTAGATTTCAGGATTTTCTTTACACTCGACTGATGACTAACACCCCAAACATAAATACCTGGAAAATATGTTGACTGCGTATATAAATGCTCGTGGCCTACTCTTAACCTAAAAAACTGTACCCAGAGGTCCAGAGAATAAAGAAACTGGGAGTCTGGATGAGACCCGGGATACCCTGAGTCTGAAGACTACGCCTCCAGGTAATGAATGAAACATGTACCTTCCCAAAAAGTCTGCTGCCCACCAGACGTAAACTCGTGTGAGGCTGACGGAGAATGAGGGGGAAGAGGCTCCGAGTCCCTGGCTCACAACCTAACATGGCAGACACGGCTTGGGGTGCAGAGACCAGTGAGGTTAACAAAACAACAGCACTAACAATTCACACACACACCAAATGTCCACCTTTTGGCTGAGGTCCCAACCACACATTCCTGGGGAAGGACTTCCGTCTGTCTCTACCAGCCTGGCTGTGGCCTCTCCCTGACCTGCTTGCTTCTCATACTGCCCTGGCTGGAACGGACAGGGCAAGGGGTGCCACGGCCCCCAGGGGGTTCTCCCTACTAGGGGCTGGGATGGAGGAGGGCATGGTCCATCACCCAGGTGTTAAGAATTTCACCCAGGGGCGCCTGGGTGGCTTAGTCAGTTAAGCGTCCGACTTTCGCTTAGGTCATGATCTCGCGGTTCGTGGGCTCAAGCCCCGTGTCGGGCTCTGTGCTGACTGCCAGCTCAGAGCCTGGAGCCTGTTTCAGAGTCTGTGACTCCCTCTCTCTCTGACCCTCCCCTGCTCATGCTGTCTCTCTCTCTCCTAGAAATAAATAAAACATAAAAAAATTAAAAAAAAAAAAAAAGAATTTCACCCAATTAACCCATCTTCCTGCAACGTCACACTGACCAAGACTCCGCACCTTATGTGCACACAACCATGCAGAGAACAGAAAGGACTTGTCAGGTCTGTTATGAGAACCACTAGAACTTATGTGGAATTTTTAAAAATGCACCATCACCCTGCCTCCCCACTCCAATATTCATGACAAGATGGTGGTTTCTGTTCACAAAATTCACGCCAGGAGTTCACTTCGCTGGTGGCAGAGTACCATGGGTGCCGTCACCTCCTGTAGAAACAGGACTGAGGACCCTTGCCTTAACTTTGAGCATGAGTGCATCAGGTTCTTTCTGACACGGTGCTGGGGGCCGGGGACCGGGGACTGGGCCGAGGAGATGCCCCCCACCCCTGCAGGCTCCTGCCACCCCTGCGCCCAGTGTACCTGCCGGACCCCGTGCACAACTGACCTCGGCCGTGAGGTACTCCAGGATTGCAGCGCTGTACACCGCGGCCGTGGCGCCGACCCTCCCGTGGCTCGTGGTGCGGGTCTTCAGGTGTCTGTGGATGCGGCCCACGGGAAACTGAAAGACAGACCGCCCGGGCGGGAAGCACCACGGCCTTGCCGTCGCACCACCGAGCGTGACTGAAGGCACGAGAGAACGTGAGCTTGCTTGAGCAGATCAGAAGTCCCACCTACTCAGCAAGGATAGTCCCTAGTACCTGTGTGTCCCAGTAACAGGCTTGAATCGTCTCGCCTCCACCCTCCTAAGGACAGAGCCAATGGGGAAGAACCACGAACGCTCGAGCTCGAGGGGCTACTTTCTGAGCGAAGGGGGTCTGGGTGGCCAGAACAGCCCGAGGAGGGGCCAAATGTGCGGTCGCTGGCGCATGGGCCTCGAGGTGGTGGCAGACTTCACCCCTCCCTCCCCGTGTATGATAGCTACGATATGCTGACTCTCCCGGGGACTCTCCGAGGACAGGAACTTTCTCCAACGTGTCCTTGAGCAGCGCACCTCTGCCCGATGGCCCTCTTCTTACATACTTTCTGCGCTCTGCCACTGCACCGGCACCACGGCAGCCCGACCGTCCCCCCTTCCTATCAACCCCCCTCACCTTGCCCTCCCTGCGCCTTCCCTCTTGCACCTGTCCTCTGAGCCTCGCTGCAACTGGAGCAACAAGTCCTCTCCAGTCTGTCCACGGCTCTCCTTTCCTAAGACAAAACTTAAAAGCAAATCCCAGACCCCTAACTGTCCTGTTACCCCTTTTATTCTAATCCAGGCTTGGTTTTTGTCAAACACCATCCTAGAAGAGCAGTGGTGACACTTTTAACTGCCAAATCCAGTAGCCATTTCTAGACCCAATCCTTGAGGATCTGAGCGTTCCTGAGGGCAAGCCATGGGCTGGGATCTGGCCTCCCAGGGATACCCAGACCACGTGTGGGGTCTGCCCGAGGACCCCCGCTCCCCTCGCATGCTATGCAGACCAGACTCACCCACGGCACGAGCTCCCAATTTTACACATGTGACCTTAACTTCGTAGTGCTTTTCATCACTGCTCTTGGAAATGGGACTCCAATCTGCAACTCTGGGACATCTTCCCGAAGATGTCTTGGTGGACCTTCAAATGACTCACCTTAAACTTATCGTCTAACGCGGCCCTGCTGCAACACAAACTCCTCGGGCCCTTGGCTTTTCAGCCTTAGATAAACCTTTCTCTCAACCGGTGCCTCCCCTTCTGCTCTTGGGGGACACACACGTCCTTCTATTCCTTCTGCTGCACCCCAGGTCAAGTGCGTCTCCTCTCACCCCTAAAGCACAGCACAGCCTTGCCGCCTTCTTGCGCCGCCCAAGGTCACTGACGTGTCAGCAATGTTCTAAGAGAGCCCATCCAGTTACCCGTCAAGGGTGAGTACCCCCCTTCCTTCAGGGCCCCTGGCTCCTGTCATTCTCTGGCTCCACAGTCTTCAGTGGCTCACCACTGCCAAGAGGAAGAAAACCCAAACTTTACAGTCCGGCCTCCAAACTGTCCTGTTTCAAAAGGGTCTCCTCTAGGCAGTGGTTCTCACTGAGTCAGAAATATCTGAGTTTGTGGATTAAAGTCACAACCACTCAAGTACATGAAGTTTGACAATATTTAGTGTTTCGAGTGTATCACTCAGGCTAAAACTGAAGGAAGCTTTAGGGGAGAACTTCGGGGGACGGGGCACAGCCCATGTGCCCCTCCCCCAGCTCTGCCTCAGCCTCAGTTAACTGCTGTTGCACAGAGCGTCCCCAAGAGAAACATCACAGCATGCTGACTTTCGTGTGATCCAATTTATTTAAAAAAACAGGAATATAATTATAATCTAGAAATAACCAATTTTAAGAGCTCATTTAGTGCTACTTCATAACTTGTTCTCATTTGGAAGAATACAAATTAAAAGATTATTGTGTTAGGATTTTAATTTTGACCACTTCATCTCATTAAAAGGTCCACGGTACAAGTACAATTTTGTAATTAATGAAACATTTATGGGTCCTGAATTACAATGAAGAAAATAATCCAGTAGTGAATTATGACAGCATCAATTACCTGGAGCCCAGCTCTCTGTGAGCGAGACACTGCCTTGGCCTTGGCCTTCCCACTGTCCTTTCCAGCTTTGCCTCCAGCCTAAGAGGAAAACAACAACAATAACCCCAGATGAAGAGACGAAGATGCTATTTCAAAAACATTTGGGAAACAATTTTCTCCACTTTTACTTCAGGTAGTTAAAAAAATATAAGTAGGGGCGCCTGGTTGGCTCAGTCAGCTAAGCATCCGACTTAGGCTCAGGTCATGATCTCACGGTTCATGGGTTCAAGCCCCGTGTTGGGCTCTGTGCTGACAGTCAGCTCAGAGCCCGGAGCCTGTTTCAGATTCTGTATCTCCCTCTCTCTCTGACCCTCCCCTGCTCACACTGTCTCTCTCTCTCGGAAATAAATAAAACATTAAAAAAAATTTTTTTAAATATATAAGTAGACCTCTTTTCTCAATTTCAAATATACATGTATAATTTCACTATTTACTAATTTATATAAATATGTCAAACCTTAAATTTTTATTTAAAATGAGTTTTCTGTAAGTTTGAGTATTTTTCTTGAATTTCACACTGAAGAATCTTCATTGAGTCACTAGAACTTTCATGCTGGAGATATTTCATAACGAAGTGATTTTTAAAAATGTTAACATACTGGGGTACCTGGGTAGCTCAATCGATTAAGCACCTGACTTCAGTTCAGGTCATGATCTCACAGTTATTGAGTTCGAGCCCCATGGCGAGCTCTCTGCTCTCAGTGGGGAACCTGTTTGAGATCTTCTGTCCCTGCCCCTCCCAGCACATTTTCTCTCTCAAAAATAAACATTTTTTAAAAAGTCAGAAACTTACGAAATAAAAAAAGTCAGCCGTTTTGGGAGAAAAAGAAACATGTTCAGAAAACCCCAAAATTAAACACAGAATTAGCATCTGGGCCAGCAACTGCACTCTGGGTCTCTGTGCAAGGGATTGAAACTGGTGGGGACTCAGACACACAGGCACGTTCAGACTTCATTGTTCACAAAAGCCTTAAGGCAGAGACGGCTCCAGCTTCTACTGAGGAATGAAACGGATCAACAAAAGGGGGGCGGTCGCATACAATGCGACCTGCATAAATTCACCTGCATAAAGGAAATTCTGGTCCCCCCTACAAGAAAGTGATGCCAAGTGGAAGGAACCAGTCCCCAAAGGACACATGTTGCAGGATTCCTATTATATGAGGTACCTAGTCAAAATCAGAGGGGGAGAAAGTACAATGGTAGTGGCCGCAGGCTAGAGAGAAGGTTGGAATGGAGAGTTCCAGTTTAACGGGGAAGATAAAAAAGTTCTGGAGCTGATTAACAGTATTAATGTCCTTAACATCACCTAAACACTTAAAAATGGCTACAATGGCAAATTTTGGTATGTATACTGGAAAAAAAAACAACCCTTAAACTAAAAGGGTTAAACAAATCCTGCTATCAACAGATAGTAGTAAAAAAAAAAAAAAAAAAAAGAAAAGAAAAGAAAAAAAACAAAAAAACCGAACTCGGGCACCTGGGTGGCTAAGTCAGTTGAGGGGGCAACTTTTTTTCTTTTCTTAATTTTTAAAAATGTAATTTTAGAGAGAGAGTGTGTGAGCAAGGGAGGGGCAGAGAGAAGGGACCAAATCTTGATTTCAGCTCCCAGGGCCATGGGATCAAGCCCCAAGTGGGAGCTTCTGCTCTGAGTGTGAAGCTTACTTGGGGCTCTCTCTCTCCCTCCCCCTCCCTCAATTATACTCACTCTGTCTCTCATACATACATAAATAAGGGCACCTGGGTGATTCAGTTAGGTGTCTGGCTCTTGGTTTCATCAGACTCCTGATTTTGGCTCAGGTCACGATCTCATGTTGGGCTCTGCACTGACTGCAGGGTGCTTGCTTGGGGTTCTCTCTGCCCTTCCCCCTGTCGTGTGTGTGCACGCACGTGCTAGCATTCTCTCACATTGTTAAATAAATAAATACATCAGTAAATGAATAAGTAAATAAATCAATAAATGCATGACTGGCTGGCTGAAGTTAAAAAAAAAAAAGTAATCCTGCCCGGACTTGCCTACGGTTTTGCTCATAGCTTGTTTTTTCCAGATCGCAATTCTCTTTTATTCCTGAATAAAATAATCTTTTGTTGGTAAAATCAATGAATGTATGAAAAGTAAACGATGCCTCGGTGGCTCAGTTGGTTAGACACCCAAGTCTGAGCAGAGCACAGAGCTTGCTTGGGATTCTCCATTTCTCTCTCAAAATTAACAAACATTAAAAAAAAAAAATACTCAAGGGGCACCTGGGTGGCTCAGTCAGTTAACTGTTGAGCTTTGGCTCAGGCCATGATCTCTCAGTTCGTGAGTTCAAGCCCCGCATGGGGCTCTGTGTTGACAGCTGGGAGCCTGGAGCCTGCTTTGGAGCCTGTGTCTCCCTCTGTCTCTCTTTCCCCCTCCCTCACTCACACTCTGTCTCTCAAAAAATAAAAATAAAACGTCAAAGAACATTTTTTTAAATAAACAAGAAATGTTACATTAAAAAAAGAAAATATTATGCAGCCATTTCAACAAACGAGACAAAGATACATGATAAAGAAGCACCCACACACACTCTCAGTGGAAAAGGCAGAGTATGTACCACTGCACAGAGCCTTTCCTTACGTAAACACGAGTCTTGTCTACAGAGGAGGTGTACACATAGATTTCCAGATCACACAGTAAGTTAGAAAAGCTATTTGCCGTCTACAGCCATACCACCCTGAACGCGTCGATCTTCTCTGATCTCGGAAGTTAAGCAGGGTCAGGCCTGGTTAGTACTTGGATGGGAGAAAAGCTATTTGCCTCTGGGGACAGAAGACCAAGAATCTGACTTCAGAGAGAAACCACTGTTCTTTTTGGACTGTTTGATTTTACCATTTAAGTCTATTATGGATTCACTGTTAATAACAAAACAACAAACTAGTTTACAAGACGGGCTCGCTGCTCAAGGGCCTACTTTTTTGAAGCAGAGGGTAAGCTTTGAGATGGCATATCCTGTTTATAATGCTTCTCTTTAAAATTTTAAGCTAAAAAAAAATCAACTGCACATTCCCCCCAACTGCATGCCTTAGTTGATTTAATGTTTATTTCCCAGAACAACATAAAAAAATAAATACAGGCCTTGACAGATATTAGAAGCAGGAAAAAAGTCTAAGAATAATTCCTATCTTTCTAACATTTAGCACTTTTAGCAGAGACAGTGGTTTAAAAGAAACCGAGAAGCTCTAGATTTCTGCAGGATGCCTTATATGTTTTAATCATTTCTGACCACGTTGCCATACAATAAAAAGATGTTGGACTCTTTACTGATTTGAGTTCGGCTTACATAACAACACATTCTCACTTCTTCCTCAAACGCAAAAATTATTTTCAGCTCTGTCTGTCCCGGAATAAAATGTAAAAACCTCTAACCGGGCGCACGAATCTAAAATCACAATCATCGTGTCTCCAGGGCCGAATCAGGAAATAAAAACTAGTTACCAATCCAAAGCCACGAACTGCAAAAGCCCGAACGTACTCTTAAGCAGTTTCAACCTGTTTCCAATCCATACAGTTTACTGTATTATTTGCTTTTTACAGAGGCAGACGTTAAACCACGGTTTTAAGAACCTCAACAGACGTCACGACTCTAGCAGGTGTGGGGGCTGCGGTCACCTTCCGGACACAAGCTACCAACTTGCCCGGCGCTCCGCCGGGGTCGGCTCGCACACGAGAAGCCAGCGGACCGTTCGGGCCCGGATCGGGCACCCTCCCTGGGGTCCGCGTCCCGGGGGCGGAGGCGGCACCGGCGGAGGTCCGCATCCCGGGGAAGGAGGGGGCACCTGTCTGGGGTCCGCGTCCCGGGGGCGGAGGGAACACCTGTCGGGGCCCGCGCCTCAGGAGCGAAGGGGGCACCGGCTGGGGGTCCGCGCCCCAGAGAGGGGAGAAGAGCCGGGCAAGGGTCCCTCCCAGCCGGCCACAGGGTCTCTTTCCAGCAGAACACCTGCTCCCGGGGACCCGACGTCAGCATCCCAACTAGCTGACAAGTCACCGCCGCCGCTATTTTTAGATCCCGCGGCCGGCCCGTAATTTTAGTTGCTTTGTGTAGGGACGCAGGTCTGAGGCGCCGCGCTGCGGGACACGGGGGACGCCGGGGACAGGACGCCCGCCCGCCCGGGATGCAGGCCGGCTGCAGGGCCCTCTCCCCGCGCTCCACGCCGGCGCCACGGCGGGCGAGGCGGCACCACGCAGCCTCAACAGGTAGCGCCGCCCGCCGCCGCCCCCCGGCCGCCCGCTGCCCTCACCATGGTCTCGGCCGCTCCCACCCTCGCTCCAGCCGAGCCGCCGCCGCCGAGCCGCCGCTCCGCAGCACCGACCGCCGCCGCCGCCGCCGCCGGAGCCGGGACAATAACCGGGACCCGCTTCGCACCGCCCCGACCAATCCCCGCTCACCTTGCTAATTTGAACCCCGGAGGCCACCCAATCGCGCGCCCCCTTCTAGTGTTGCCCCGCCCCCCGGCGCCACCTCCCTAACGGCTGTTTGTTTTTGCACACGGCACACGGGGGCGGGGCCTCCAGCCCCGACACCTATGGCCCTGCGTGCGAGCGGGGACGGGGCCACGCGCGGCTCTCCGCCTGTCCGCGAAGCTCGAGCCGGATGAATGGAGTGGCGGACCAATGAGAACGGACGGCTGGCGGAACTCAGCCAATGAGAACCTCGCCCGCTAGCAGGGGAGGCGGGCCGCTGGGAACGACAGCGGAGCTAGCCAATGGGTGGGGCTACTGGAGGTGGTGGCTGTTTTCCCGCGCGTTCTCGGCGGGGAGTGGTCTGTGAGTTGTGTTCTGAACGGAAGCGCCGGTGGGCGTCTCCTGTGAGCGCGGCTTCTTACGGGCCTGTGGCTGTCAGGGTCCTCTGAGCGCGGAGACCCGGGGAGGCCGCTGGTTTCCGCAGGACGGGACTCACCGAGGTGTTCCCGTCTTTTCCTTCTCCCGCGTCTGGCGTCAGTCTTTGTCCCCTCGCCGCCCGCTCCGAAGCCGCAGGCGCCCTTGTCCCGGCGACCCTGCCGGGGCAGGGACGAAGGGCGGGCAGAAGGGATGGGGAGCGCCCGCACCGCCAGCGGGGATCCCAAAAGTTCCCTTGGGGGCTTCCTCGTGGAGTCCGGATGACCCCCTGCAGGCGGGGGTGGCGGAGGGGAGGGTGCCCCGCAACCCCGAGTCTGGCTCTGGAGCAGGTGACCTGGCGCCGGGGCGCCCTCCCCGCTCTCCCGCCCCTCCCCCGCATTCACCTGCAGACCCCGGCCCCCGACAACGACAATGCTAGGGTGAATTAGGGGAACGCAATCTCGCGCAGCTGTGAGCGCTGGCTCCGGCGGTGCGGCCGGTGGGGACACCTGACCCAGAGCCCTCGCTCCCTGGCTGTGTGGTCCGCGCAGGGCACCGTGTATGCCCACCCCTGTGTGGTCATTAAATCTGTCCGCGGCAGTGCCCACCGTGCAGCGTTGGGGTAAGCGCTCACTCAGCAACTTACGGGGAAGCATCCCGTTCCTAGCACCGGATCATGCCCGATACACGGTCACTTCTTTCGATAAGCGCAAGTTAATTCCGTCGCTTCTAGGCTCTCAAGTCATCGATTCAGAATGGAGGACAGTGGAGTTCGGTTGACACTGACGCTCATCACAAACAGGAGTGATCGATCCCCTTCCCCATCTCGGCCTTGTGTTTAGAGTGGAGAGAACTAGATTGAAGAGGCTGAGGCCCACAGAGCGAAGAAGAGTGGTAGGAATTTCCCCGCAGCTACAAAAAGAAAACCTGCCTGTGAGCAATTTCATAAAGGACGTGTGTCAGCGAATCCGTCTGGTTTCCAGTGAACCAGGGCTGCACAGCAGGTGGCATGAGCTAACAAGACCAGCCTCCTCAGGGAACTGTAGGAATTAGCATCTCCAAGTGATAAAGTACCACACTCCACCTTGATTCAACTTGCAGGATTTAACGCAGTCAGATACAGTGTATGGTTCTCAGAGTGCGGTCTTTAGGGTCCCTAGACAGCAGCATCGGTGTCACCTGAAATTGTTGCAAATGCAGATTCTGACGCCCAACCCACACCCACCGAATGGGAAACAGTAGGTGGGGCCCATCAGGCCTCCCAGGGGATCCGTGCGCCCTACAGTTTGAGAATGAGCTTTGTGCATGGTCAACAGTGCATGGTCAAGAGCCCCTGGTCCTTCAGAAGCTCAGTGTTGACTGGTCACTGCTCAGGAGTGTTCCCAAGAATTGTGCTTGGCCCAGGGATCAGGGCTGCAGGGCGGCCAACCTCCAGCCACTGGTGGGTGTGGGGTAAGGTGCCCGGCTGTTTGGCCTTACTTTGTCTGAACTGACTCTGAAGAGCCGTTTTCAGAGTCTGCTGTGACTCGGGGCACCTGGGTGGCTTACTCGGTTAAGCGTCCGACTTCAGCTAAGGTCATGATCTTACAGCTCGTGAGTTCGAGCCCCACATCGGGCTCTGACAGCCCAGAGCCTGGAGGCTGTTTCAGATTCTGTGTCTCCCTCTGTCTCTGACCCTCCCCTGCTCATACTGTCTCTCTCTCAGAAATAAATAACACTAAAAAAATTAAAAAAAAAAAAAGAAAGCTAAAGTTCATAAAATCATTTATAAAAAAAAAAAGAGTCTGCTGTGACACACTTGAACTGCATTACTGTTCAACACCTTTCTCTATTTAATGCCGCTTCCTTCATTTTCTCCTCATGTCACCAGGGGCCAACCACAGCGAACCCCGTGAAGGCAGATCCCCACGTCCGAGTCTGTTTCCTGGGACACCTGACCCAACACAATGCCTCTTCTTTGCAAAATTATAGTTAATTTTTTGAGGGATCAATATGTTTACACGGACAGGGTCCTCCTATACCAGGCATCCATTTCCTCAGTGTTGCCAGGGTAATGACAGTGTCTTAGCTTCTCAAGAAGTCAGCCTTAATGATTACATGATTACTCCACAGATTCCAGAAGTTTTACCCCTGTGTTCAGTCTTTTTTTTTTTTTAATGTTTTATTTATTTCTAGGAGAGAGCGAGAGACAGCGTGAGCAGGGGAGGGTCAGAGAGAGAGGGAGTCACAGACTGAAACAGGCTCCATGCTCTGAGCCGGCAGTCAGCACAGAGCCCGACGCGGGGCTCGAACCCACGAACCGCGAGATCATGACCTAAGCGAAAGTCGGACGCTTAACCGACTAAGCCACCCAGGCGCCCCCCCCTGTGTTCAGTCTTAAATTCACTTTAACACGGAGGTATTCTTCAAAATATTATAAAGAAAATTTCTTTTGGCCACTCTTGAAAAGGACAGTCAAATGATCCTTTCTATTAAAGAAATTGTTTAATGTTTATTTATTTATTTATTTATTTATTTATTT